CCGCCTCCCGGGCCGCAGCCACATACCTGAGCGTGGCGAAGGCGGGCGCCGCAACGCCAGAGCCCGGATCCTTCCAGCTGCGGCGACACAGCCACTCCTCCGGGAACACCGGGCTACACAGCTCCACTTCCGGCCAACTGCCCGTTACTTCCGCCTGCTGCGCTAGCTACGGGTACTGCCGAAGCTCAAAAGGTCTTGCCAGCGTTTTCCAAGGACGTTTTCCACGTGAGGACGTTGATAAAGATGGTCTAGGACCTTCCTTTAATAAATAAATAAAAATAAATAAATAAATAACTCTCGGGGCCAGCAGGTGGTGTGGTGGTTAAGGCGCTGGACTCCAACATGATAGATCACGATTTGAGTCCTGAACCTGGCAGCTTGCTTTCTCACTTTCCTTCTCTCTCTCTGGTCAAATTTTAAAATAATAATAATTAATAATGTTAAATAAATAATTCCTTAAAAAAAAAAAAACTCCCTGAATGGATCACTCTGGAAATAACTGAGCAGCACAGACACAAGCTCGAATCTCAGGATCCCCACTGAGTTATAGCCTGGGAGAAATCACATAAACTTTGGAAGCTTAGTTTCTCATCTGTACAATGAGGGCGATAATGTATTTATAACAGCGAGGAATCTTTAAAGTACTCTCAGGAAGAGAGATAGTGGTGGATAGATGAGGCTGTTAGGTGAAATGGATATGGGCAGCTGGAGCTTGAGGGGACCAGAGTTATGACGGGTAAGGGAAGGGACCTTCCAGTTCTCTACCCAGGGGTCTTCACACCTGAGTCAGACATGGGTGCCTAGACAGGGAAGAGACTATTGAAACTCTACTTATCACAAGTGCTTCACTCTAGCCTACCATTTTGGGGAATACTTGAGAGCGACTGATCAGTTTTCCCACCTTGTCAGTGCCTTAGCTCCTGTCTATCCTAAGGACTGTGAGATTGACCTAAGAAATCATGCTCCGGGGACCAGCAGATGGCATAGTGGTTACATTGCTGGACTCCCACGTAGTTGACCCCAGTTTGAGTCCCATACCTGGCAGCTTAAACTCATGCCGTTGCACTGGGAGGACCATGTGACTGAGTTCTATTTAACAAGCAAGATTTAAAGAGTAGAGTGCTGGAAGGGTTCTGGAAAAACTTTTTTTTAGGAGAGATTATTGCTATAGGGTGCATATGCTGTAGGTCACATGCGCTTGCCAGAGAGACAGAGACAGAAAGTGAGAAATCACTCCCCAGGGAGGATGACCACACCATAATCCCTTCTCCTCCATTCTCCTCTTGGGATTTTGGGCACACACATGCCCAGTGTAAGCCAGTGGGTCTGGGACTCAAACCATGTGGCAGTCCAGTGATGTAACCATTATGCCATCTACTGGTCCCTGTGGAAAAACTTTCACTGTCATGATAAAGTAGTGCAGCCTCAATCCCTTCCCAGAGCCATGGCAGCCACCTTGTGGAAAAGAGGAAGCAACATGCTAGCATGGGAGAATGAGAGGGCGAAAAGTCTAGGTCCTCAATGAACTGATTCCTGTGGTGCCCACATCCAGACTTCATGTTAGGTGAGGAAAAAGAAGCCAGGCTTTGAGGTTCTATAAATCAGCTTATGTTACTCACAGCAGAATGCACTCTTTTTTTTTTTAATTTTATTATCATTATTTATTATCATTTTTATTTATTATTATCTTTTTCAATTTGACCAGAGAGAGACAGAGAGAGAGAAAGATGGAAAGTGAGAAAACCACCAGATCCAGGACTTGAACTTTGGTCAACCATGTGGGAGACCAGCACCTCAACCTCCACACCACCTGCTGGCCCCCAGAATGCACTCTTGATTGTGGGGCTTTGTGAGGATGACATAAGGAATCATCATAAAGGACAGCTCTGCTGGGTAGCACATTGGGGTCCCTTTTGCCTTTGAGATGTCACTACTAATTGTAAACCCAATCTCAAGCCTTTGGTTCTATGCATTCTGTCCCCAAATATGTGCCAATCGTTGTAAGATGGTGTAGGTGACTGCAGGCATCACCTGCTTTCTGGCCAACAGCCTGGTGTCAATTCTCACCTTTGACAACCGTCAGAAGAAAGCTCCATGGGGCAGAAACATGGGTTCACAACTCCTGAGCGACGTGGAGCTCAGGCTCTGGGCCAACTTCCAAGCACAGCCTGGCGAACACTTCCAGCTTCATGCCTCCTTTGGGAAGTGTTCACCTCTGCCTCTGCCCGCACATCACCCTCACCCAGGCCTCACCTCCCACACCAGCAAAGAAGCAAACAGGCCAAAGAATGCCGCTCAAGAGGCTTTCTCCATTTTATTTCTTTGGGAAAGGAAAACGAAGTCTTTCCATCACATATGGTAGAGATATATATTTATATATATTTATATATATATATAATTTCTTTTGTAGTTGGACATCCCAAAGCTGAGTCTGTTCATATTTTTTTTTCTATTTTTTTTTTTTTTCCTACTTATGCCGGGTGAGTGGAATGGGCAGTGGTTGCCAGGATAGCCTCCCACCCAGCTCAGAGACCTGGTGAGGACCACCGAGAAGGGGCTGTGCAGAGGGTCAGAGGCCACGCAGAGGGCACTTCTGTTTTTGTGGGGGTCGCACAGCTCATTAAACAGTCACCAGTCATGGGAGGAGGCTGATCAGGGGCCAGGGGACTTGCTCACAGTAGTTACTAGCTCTCTCCATCCTGCCCCCAAACTTTGGGGGTGGAAGAGAGAGCAAAAAAGAGAGAAATATAAGGGCTAAGGGCCAAACCTCCTCCAATTTTTATTGCTGGTGAATTAAAATTTGCTTTTCCCTTTCTGTCTTGGAGAGATGGCCTCTTAGAGGGCCCCAAGAGAAGAGACGTTACTGTCCCAGCCCAATGAATGGCCATGCCAGGCCTACCCTGGGCAAATGTTGGGCCACCTCCAAGCCCTGGGAACCGAGGGGTCAATGTTCCTCTCAGCTCAGCCTTGTTTTTCCAGGACAATCCCACCCAAGCCCCTGCCCCTGCCCCTGCACAAGGGCCTTGGGCTCAGACGGGCCAGTGGTGCTGGTAAGTGGGCAGTGCACCGAAGGTCAAGTGGAATTTTCTACCAGAATAGGTGAGACTATGGGGAAGAGGCAGCCTGGGAAGATGATAATCTGAGCATGAAAGCAGGAGGAGGCTGGGAGAATAGACTGAGGGAAGACACAGGAAGACATCACAGACACTCATCTGACCTCAGAAACTAGGTGAGGGGAGTGCCTGAGAGGCAGGTAGCACTTCATAGCTGTAGTTAAGAGCCAGACAGTGGCCCTGGGTGTGGGGTCAGCCAAGCAGGTGGGACTATTGCCCTGCGGGACCCTGGCCAGGAGGGTGAGGGTAGAGCCAAGAAGCTTCCAGGTAACCCTTCCCAAGAACAGGAGGGACAGATCTTCCTGGAGTGCTGAGCTTCCAGCCCTAGCCCTTCCCTCCCCCAGTACACACATATGGACACACACTCAGGACCAGGCCAGGCTCTGAGGCCTGAGCCCAAGAGACCTTGGGGGGGGAGGGGCTGGGCAGGTAGCCCTCTCAACCACAGACAGGCCATCTGCTCCCACTTGTCCTGCCAATCTGCCCAGGAAAGGAGAGAGGCCAGGAGCCCAGGGTCTGTCAGCCTGGGCAGACCCGGTGCAGGCCCCCTCAGGTTCCACGGCCGAGGAGAGCACAGACAGCACCACTGGACACAGGGTGGCCAGTAGGTGCAGCCCAGACCACCCGCAGGAGGGTGGCTGGGGCACTTCACAGCACTGCAGGCCTGTCGCCTCCATCTCCAACGAAGGGGTGCTAAGAAAGGGGGCCTTACCCCCACTCTTCCACCCTCTGCCTATTTCCTCCCTGGAGGGAGGGCAGGAGTAGCTACCCATAGGGGCAGGGCTGGGGCCAGGAGGGCACCCAGGGGGCAGGGAGGAGCCTGGTCACAGCTGCTTTGAGAACCTCTTTGGTCTGGGGATCTATGGAATACACGTGGGAAGAGATGGAGGGCAGGGGATCCTGGGGACTCTGGCCTTCTGCCGGGGCATTTGTCAGAAGGCCAAGCGCCCCTGGGGGAGATCAGATTTCTGTGGACTCAATGCGCTCCAGGCGGGAGGGAGTCCAGGCTTTCTTCTCCTCGCCATGCTGTGGGGTGGGGGTGCTGGCACCCCCGGCGGCCCCACGCTCCCGCAGCCGCCGCTCCTCCAGCTGCTGGTTGCGCTGGTACATCTCCACGTAGCTCAGCTGCAGCTGCTTCTGGTACTCAATGACCTTCTCCTTCTCCTCCAGCCACAC